CATCCCAGGGCCCGACATAGCGGCCCGAACTCACCGCAGGCACTCACCATGAAGTGCAGTTCGACTCAGGGACGACCCAGACAGCTCCGACAGTCGCCAACCATCAGAAGCCGTGGTAAAAGTTTGCTGAGATTGATCGTGTTTTTGACATTCGTGTTTCGTTTCGGGGAAGCTCTACATCCGGGCCCCCACATGACGGTTTCCTGATAGGTTTGTTGAACCCTACGGGGTTGTTGAATAAGGTCGATTTAATTAATTCACTTCCGGTTGGCTCCCACGGCACCATTTGGGCAGTGTCCGAATCACATCTCACAAAAAGTGGGTGCGCTCAGTTCCGCCGAGCTTTAACTTGTTCTCGTAGTCCATTCAAATACATTGCAGGTGATTTTGTTCCTCCGAAGGTAGCAACACAATCCTTGCTTGCCGTCCGTGGCAAAGAAAGGGGGGTGGGGTTTTTGACCAGTGTGCCCGGTCGCAGTCTCATGCATAGTTGGCCTCATGAAGTGACCAGCCAACAAAGATGCCACGTTGCGGGGTTCCAGATGGGTAAACATTGGATTCAAGGAGGGGCCTTTTACGGAAATGCTTTCCATAGCACAGGGGTTCCGACCAGAGAAGCCAACAACCACCTGCTTTCCCACATTGTCGATCGCATAGGAACCAAAGCACACGGCCCCCGGTTTATAGGAGGCGACTTCAACCACTTCCATGATGATCTGACAACAATGCAAACCCTCACACACGAGGGCTGGGAAGAAGTTCAACATTATGCACATAGAAGATTTGGTCAAGAAATTCGGCCCACCATCCAGCAGAAACACACGAAGGACTTGTTGTTTCTAAGCCCGGAGCTATTAACACGAGTTAAATCTGTTCACGTTGAGGATGATTGGGTTGCCAACCACGCCATTGTCTTTGTGTTGTTGAAACCGGATGCACCTGTGATCCAAGTTCCCGTTTGGAAAAAGCCTAGCCAAGTTTCGTGGGCTGAGATTGAAAGTGAGGGTACTAGTGACCAATGTTTGCAGCCAAATGTGCTCACCCCTCCCACACTCGAAGGGATGGACGCCAACTCCAAATACCAGGCAGTTTGGCAATCCTTCGAAACTCAGATGGTGACTAGGGCCCGCCAAACAGGGCACAATCTCCATAGGTCACAATTGGGTAGGGGAGCCACCATGTCCCGCACTTGGGTTACTGAACAGTTTGTCCCACTGCGACCGACGCGGCCAGGAGGGTTCCAGCCAACATATCATGGACAAAATAGAAGTCATGTACACTGGATCAAGCAACTCCGACGCCTCCAAGCATATGCACAAATGCATCATACGAACCACCGCCCTACTAGTCACTGGCTAGAGCGTAAGTTAGGACAGTGGCGAGCAATCTCACGGGCACCCGGCTTCTCGCCGAACTTCGGCCAATGGTGGACGACCAAAGCTAAGCATGTTTTGGGACTGCCAGTCTGCTTTCCGACAAGTCCGCCGGACGGCGAACTTGCGAGGTTGTTGGCCATTGACTTCCAGCAGGATGTGCAAAGCTTTGAGCAAACCCTGTTGACTGCCCGCATCCGGTCAGCGAAGCAGACTCGACTTGATAATCCCAATAAGATCTTTCAAGACCTTCGTACCACTAATGCCGAACCCGTCCAAATGTTGCTCGCCCATAGCACAGCCATGGTCACCGACGTGGACCTTGAGGAATGCTCCATCACACTCGATTCAGCTAATGCTTTTCGACCTGAGCAGGCCATTGAACACAATGGTCAACCCCTCCCCTTAGTCCATTATGACAGTGATAAGATATGGCTAGCCAGTGCACCCAATGCACAAGTAGGGGACACGCTTGTCCAAACCACACCAGTCACCGATCTCGAAGAGATCTATCGCGCGTTCCACGCTGAATGGCTTGCCCGGTGGGATAGACATGCCAATACCCCTGATGAACAATGGGACCCCATTGTGCAATTCGTTGCTGCAGCCATCCCGAATCCACCCTCAATGCCGTATCGACCGGTTGATTTCGACATGTGGCAACACGCAGTTCGCAAGAAGAAAGCGAAAGCAGCCATTGGTCCGGACGGAGTATCCAAAACCGACCTGCTTGCACTCCCGAAGAGTCATGTAGAGCCCATCTTAGACCTCCTGTCAAGTATAGAGCAAGGGACTTTGCATTGGCCCAAACAAGTCGTCACCGGACATGTCCATGCACTTGAGAAGATTCCCGATGCCTGGAAGGCCAGCCAATACCGACCGCTGACAGTTTTCTCAATCGTATACAGGACCTGGTCGTCGATCCGGGCCAGAGAAACCCTGGCTTACTTGAGCCAATTCGTGCCGGACCAAGTCCATGGCAATGTCCCTGGGAAGTCATGCACTGACCTGTGGCTGGGGGTCCAATTGATGCTTGAAGATTCCGTCAGCGATCAATCCACGCTAGTAGGAGTAGTTGCAGATTTGGTTAAGGCATATAACTTGCTCCCACGGATGCCACTTCTAGCAATTGGGGTACACCTTGGCCTTCCCAGGCCCATCGTCCGAGCATGGGCCCAGGCCCTCCACCAGATGGAAAGAGCGTTTAGTGTTCGGGGCACCATAGGCCCACCAATCCGATCGTCCACGGGTTTCGCCGAGGGCTGTGGATTGAGCTGCAGTGCAATGCTTATCTGTAACATTGCCTTGTCTAGATGGCTGTACTTTCGGTGCCCGTCGGTCCGCCTTTGGTCCTATGTTGATAACCTAGAACTTACTGCAAGCACCATGGCCGATGTCCAACAAGGTCTGGACTTGATGACACAATTTTGTGCCCTCCTTGATCTGCAGCTTGATGACGCCAAAACATACTTTTGGGCCAATCAGGCAGAGGAGAGAAGCCAAGCCCGCCAGGCTGATCACCCCCTGCAATCTTCGCGCAGAGATCTTGGAGCTCACATGGAGTATGGGAGAAGAACCACTAATCATGTCCTTCAAGACCGTTTAGGTAAAATGCGATAGGTGTCTCAGCCCAATGGTACATTTGTCTTTGGTAGAGCACCCGCTGACAGACCCAGGATGCCATTTACTGGTCCACACAGTGTTCACTTTCCGGCGCCACGCCGACCATGACAAGGTTGATATTATCATCGACCATGTCTTGAAGGATTGGCAAGAGCTCCCTCGGAGACCAGGACCATGTCATGTTTTGCTGGATAGGCTCCATTCCATAGGTTGGCAATGGATCGGACATGGATGGGTCCTTGATCACGTGGACCAACCCCTTGACCTGCTCCAAGGCGCCCCTGCTGAGGTGTGCCAACGCCTTTGTGACGGCTGGCAATTGCATGTCCAACAATGTGCCGCCCGCAGAAAGTCATTTCAAGGGATCGAATGGGCTAGCGCCCATTTTACACTTGAGAAAAGCTCTTCGTTAAGTGCGGCTAGACTTGGCCTCCTCCGCATCGCCTTGAATGGTACCTTTTTCACGGCTGATACACAGAAGCATAATGCCAAGGCACACACCACTACATGTAAGTTCTGTGGCGCCGCCGATTCGCAGTTCCATCGCTTCTGGGAATGCCCGGTTTTCGAGGCACATCGGCCCTACCCATGGCTGACAGAGCAGGTACGGGCAGGAGGTTTGCCGAAATGCCTCACTTACCACGGATGGATAGGCCTGCCACAGTCGGTTCGAGAACTGCGTACCCTTTTGCTCAGCCAACCTGACATGACCTCCCACTTCGACTGGCCACCTTTTCGGCCGCTTGATGTGTTTGTCGACGGTACATGCTGCAGACCCACGTGTAGGTATACAAGGGTTGCAGGTTGGTGCCTCGTTGCAGCTGATCCCGAAGACACTGATCAGTGGTGGCCCATTGCCCAAGGCATTGTCCCAGGCTGGAAACAAACCAGCGGCCGAGCTGAAATACTTGCGGCAACTAGTGCCATTCGTTTTGCAATTGCACAAGGAAGCCCAGTCAGGATTTGGAGTGATAATGCACAAGTTGTCGATAACCTCACGAAAAGCCTGTGCTCACCCGGGGAACACTCCACGCCGCAACAGGATCAAGACCTGTGGGCACCGCTGTTGGCATTAGCACGTATTGCCACTCCTGATTTTGCGCAGGTCCATAAAGTGGCCAGCCACCAATGTCTTGATCACGCCACTTGGTTAGAACGCTGGATATTCACCGGCAACAACAATGCCGATCATGGTGCTCATCATAGCACCATGCATCCAAATAACGTGTTCCATAAGTGGAAACAAGCGGTTGCTGATCTGGAGGCAGCAGTCGTGCTCCGGGATCAAATCCACATGACCATCATCCAGGTCAGTGAAGCGGCCATGACACGCACCCAAGATGAACAGCCACCGCCTGATGCACCTCAGAACCCGCCTTCGCATTTGACAGAAGTGACTTTGGGCATCCTGCCAGACCGACCGCAGACTGCTACAGATAAGTTTGTCGGCCAAGGGTGGGAAAGGGTTGCCGAGTGGTCCAGAACTTTCCAAAGTGCACAGGCTCCGGTCGTTCACATCCCGTGGCTGTATGTGCTCATTGATTTTGTTTTGACCACCAACAGTGGAGGTGTCAAGCCCAAGCGTAAGTACACGGACTGGGAATGGTTGTCCCAAACGGCTGCTAGACAATTTGCTATCCGAGAGAGAGTGCGCTGGCTCCGCATCTTTCTCATTCGAATACACAAACTTGAACAGATCAAGCTCACCACGCATTACGTTCGCCCCACCACCCGGGTGACGACCTTTTGGGCCCACTGCCTCAGTGTCAAGATGTCCCCACACCGCTTGCAACGTGTGGAAGAGAAGATACAGCAGCACAAGGCTGCTCTTACCAATGGTACAGATCTCGAAGCCATCGAGCTTTAGGGATTTTCCAGGGATCAAGGCATCCCCCGCGAAAGCTGCGGAGCCTGAGCCAATCGGAAAATCGGAAAAATTGGAGGCCATCGCTCTTAGGTTGGAGACATTTGGGCCCCGTTGGGCTTCTCACTATCGCAACCAAGGAACCAATTCCAGTTCATGGAGGTTGCAGAAGTGATGCAGAGCGAGAATGTGACGATGGTGAAGCTAATGCCCACAATCTTGAAATACTTGTTGAGTGCCGAGAAGACACGTACCATGAAGTTTCCGAAGCTGAAATGGGTGACCTGGCGCAAATCCAATCAGATCGACCTCAGACCTCAACCTGTGTAGCCGTTGGATTCTTTCTTGGATGGAAGAACATTTGTGCGTAACTTGACAATTGAGGTTCTTACTGGAGGGATGAAGCCCACAGCAGACGTCATTGAAAAAACCAAGGAGGCTGGGGATACAAGAGAACCTTGAGATGAACAACTCAGTGAATTCAATAACTTTGCAGATTCAGTTGACTTTTATTCCTGCCCTTTGCCAGACCTTTGCCTGTGAGTTCATCCAGGGCTATGGCATGACTGAGGCGCTGTATCGGCAGAAAGCACAGCCAACTCAACCCGCCATCCGCGCGGATGCCTCAAACCTCATGAAATACTCTAGGAAAAGAAATGGTCCGTGGGTTTGAGCCATTTTGCTTTGACACCTTGACATCGCAAAAGGTCAACATGTTAGAGCCCAGATCTGCAATGTAAAGGCCCTGGGCTGATAGCTGGCCGTAGCAGCGAAAAGCACTTGACAGAGCTGCCCAAAATGATGCTGAATTCGTAGCACTCGCTACAATGCAGTTACAACGCTGCCTCCCAGCTTGTTGCCGAGATATATTCAATTCTTTGATAAAGAGCCACTTTTGACTTGGCCTTCCAGCCGCATTCTTTCCACTAAGTCTGTCTTTTCTTTTGAGAGTGGGACGCCACCAGGCCCCCCAAATACGTGGTTTTTAGCTTTTTTTGAACACAAACATATGATTTATATGATTGTTTTTCGGTCATTCAACTATGCAATGTTGTATGTTGACGACGTAATATCATTTTTTTGTCTCAAAAAACAGTTTAGTTTTGGGAGTTTACGAGTACATATATATATAGTTCTTGATATTGTTTAGCGTTTGTTCATCCTCTTTTGTGTTCAGTCTTTTCTATACGTTCAGGAACACTTTATGCTGAAACATATTATCAATCATTGCATCAGCGTATTGTTTCATAATCTTTGGCATTTGCCAGCTCATGAACTGATTTTAGTTGTTTGGTATCACGTGTGGCAAAAACATATTGCTCAACAAATTATTTGGCTTTCCAATAAACACTCAGTTGCCAAAGCTTATACCCAACATCTACCATTTTCTGACAGATATGACTTTTGCTTACTCCTGCAAGTAATATCCTAATCATGACCTGGTTCACTTTCTCAATTTGACTATCAATATCATTAGTATCAGTATCATACTCATCATTTTGAATGTCTTTATTTTTAGATGTTTGTATTTCTACAGCTTGATCTTCTACAACTTGGTAAAGTTCATTGGGTTACTTAATATCCACATACTTGCTCACTCTCCAGCCTGCAGTCTTATTAATAGAAGCTACTCCCTTGGGTTCTTTTCTTCTTCAGCCTTGATGGTGAAAGAATCAATCTTAACACACTATACTGCAATACCAGCATGCTTCAGTTTAAAGTAGGTTTTATACATTCCAAAAAATGGTGCTGCAAAAGAAGCTCTTTGATATACCTATTTGTCAGCTCCGGTGCTGGTTTGAGTTGTTTAGCATCATGTGTTGCAAAAACTATTGCTCAACAAACTATGTGGCTTTGCAATAAACATTCAATATTGATGAACCATATTTGGTCAATTGCCATGACATCAAATTCTGAATAGTCAAATTTGCTTCATTAAACATCAAAACTTATACCAAACATATTGTTGTTTATTGTTCTGGCATCAACTTCAATTAGGGTGATAACCTATTGGTAGGGCATACAAATAATATTGAATAACCATTATCAACCATTTTCTGGTAGATATGACTTTTGCTTGCTCCTGCAAGTATATCCTAATCATGACCTGGTTCACTTTCTCAATTTTACTAGCAATATCATCAGTATCAGTATCATACTTATCATATTGAATTTCTCTATTTTTAGATGTTTGTATTTCTACAGTTTTTCTACAACTTGGTAAAGTTAATTAGGTTATTTAATACCCACATACTTGCTCACTCTCCAGCCTCCAATCCTATTTATAAAAGCCACTGCCTTGGGTTCTTTTCATCTTCATCCTTGATGGTGAAAGCATCAGTCTTAACGCACTATACTGTAATACCAGCATGCTTCAGTTTAAAGTAGGCTTTATCCATTCCAAAATATGGTGCTGCAAAAGAAGTTCTTTGATATACCTATTTGTCAGCTCGTGAACTGTTTTGAGTTGTTTAGTATCATGTGTTGCAAAAATATTGCTCAACAAACTATGTGGCTTTGCAATAAATATTCAATATTGATGAAACATATTTGGTCAATGGCTATGACATCAGATTCTGAATAGTCAAATGGCTCCATTTAAACATCAGAACGTATACCACAAATATTGTTGTTTATTGTTCTGGCATCAACTTCAAATTAGTGTGATAACATATTAGTAGGACATACAAATAATATTGAGTAACCATTATTAACCATTTTCTGGTAGATATGACTTTTGCTTGCTCCTGCAAGTATATCCTAATCATGACCTGGTTCACTTTCTCAATTTACTAACAATATCATCAGGTTCAGTATCATACTTATCATATTGAATTTCTCTATTTTTAGATGTCTGTATTTCTACAGTCTTTCTACAACTTGGTAAAGTTAATTAGGTTATCAAATACCCACATACTTGCTCACTCTCCAGCCTCCAATCCTATTTATAAAAGCCACTGCCTTGGGTTCTTTTCATTTTCATCCTTGATGGTGAAAGCATCAGTCTTAACACACTATACTGTAATACCAGCATGCTTCAGTTTAAAGTAGGCTTTATCCATTCCAAAATATGGTGCTGCAAAAGAAGTTCTTTGATATACCTATTTGTCAGCTCGTGAACTGTTTTGAGTTGTTTAGTATCATGTGTTGCAAAAATATTGCTCAACTATGTGGCTTTGCAATAAATATTCAATATTGATGAAACAGATTTGGTCAATGGCTATGACATCAGATTCTGAATAGTCAAATGGCTCCATTTAAACATCAGAACGTATACGACAAATATTGTTGTTTATTGTTCTGGCATCAACTTCAAATTAGTGTGATAACCTATTAGTAGGACATACAAATAATATTGAGTAACCATTATTAACCATTTTCTGGTAGATATGACTTTTGCTTGCTCCTGCAAGTATATCCTAATCATGACCTGGTTCACTTTCTCAATTTACTAACAATAGCATCAGTATCAGTATCATACTTAGGTCGACCCCCCTCCAGATTAGGAGCCTGTGGAAGAAGGCTAGGAGGGAGGGTCGATCCAGTGGTCCCGTTTTTGGTCGACTCTCCCTCCCAGCCTTTGTCAAATGCTCCGAGTTCGCGACACTTTATGGATCCAACTTTTACTTTTGTACACTTTGCCATATTTTTTTTATTAGGATCAGCCAAAAAAAATGAATTATTAACATTACTATCTAGCCGCTGTATATAGATATAAAAACAATGCATGTTTATATTTCAATGTATTCCAAGAAACGTGTATTTCCCGAAACCACGTATTTTGGGGGGCCTGACAGCGTCCCTTTCTGTTTCTTTTCTCCTTCTTGTGGGTTTGCTTTGGTTCAGGCTTGTGCACAGGCTTAATGGATTTGCACAGATATTTGGTAAGTCAAAGGAACGTGTAGTCTCTAACCTGTAAGCTTGCTCTGTGGCATGGCTTTCGGCGGTTTCGTCATGCGATCCTGGCCAGGCCACTGTGCACTGTTCCTTCAAGAACGAGTCACTGGAGCCAACAGAAGATGGTATGACAGTCCTTCCAGGCACGAGAGGAAGACCAGAACGAGTTTTGCGATTATCTTTTTCCGCAAGAAGCCACGAGGAGCAAAGGGCATCGCTACTAGGAGCAAGGACGCTATGAACGGGG